TTATATTAAATATAAACTTTAATTAAACAAGAACTTCTATAAGATATAACCTATAATTTTATTACACAAAACTCTATAGAAAACTAACAATTCTATACTTAACAATTTAAATTAATTAAATAAAAAAACAATTTCTAAAGACCTATATATTAAATATAAATTCTAATTAAACAAAAACTCTTACAAGATATACCCTACACTTTTATCATACAAATCTCTATAAAAAAACTAATAATTTTATACTTAAGAACTTAAAAACTTAAACTAATCAAATAAAAAAACAACTTCTAAATGTTTATTTATATTAAACAAAAATTCTAATTAAATAAAAGCTTTTATAAGGAATACCCTACAATTTTATCGCACAAAGCTCTATAAAAAACTAACAATTCTATATTTAAGAATTTAAGTTAATTAAATAAAAATTAACATTTAAAAATTTATATATTAAATATAAATTCTAATTGAATAAGAACTTTTGCAGGATATGCCTTAACCCTACACTTTTATTGTACAAAGTTCTATAAAAAAACTAATGATTTTATATTTGAAAATTTAAACTAATTAAACAGGCAGACAACTTTTGAAGGTTTATTTATGTTAAACATAAACTTTAATTGAATAAAAGCTCTTGTAAAATATACCCTAACCCTAGATTTTTATTGTACGAAATTTTATAGAAAATAACTTTTAAAAGCCTATTTATATTAAATATAAATTTTAATAACTTTTTATCGTATAAATTCCTATTGAAAAATTAATAATTTTACACTTAAGAACTTAAGTTGATTATATAAGAAAAATAACTTTTAGAAATTTATTTATATTAAACAAAAACTCTAATTAAACAAAAGCTTTAATTAAACAAGAGCTCTAATTAAACAAGAACTCTAATTAAATAGGAGTTTTAATTATAAAAAAACAACTCTTAAAGGCTTATTTACATATCAAAAAACCTGTAGAAAGGTTAGATTAACGGACTTTATCCTAGCCCTGTCACCCCAACTTATTATTATAAAAAAACTAATAATTCTACACTTGAAAACTTAAACTAATCAAATAAGAAAAGAATTTTTAAGGATTTATTTACATATTAAAAAATTTATAGAAACCTTAGAAGGGTTAACTCTATAAAGACTAATAAAATCTTATAACTTTAATTATATAATTACATTATTTAATTATATAATTATGTTATAATTTTCTTTAATCCCCCCCCCTTTAAAAAAAACTTATATAATTAAGGTAATTCAATTATAAAAATAATTAAAAAAGAGATTTAATTAAAAATATAAGAATAATTTTAATATAATTACATAATTAAAGTTACAAAACCTTATTAACTTCCATAAAACTAACCCTTCTAAAATTTCCATAAATAAAATGAAAAAGAATATAAATATATTAAATCCTACAAAATTCTAAATATAGGAAATTCCTCAAAAAAGCTTTTTTACTTCCATACAATACTTTGCATTTTCCATCTTCTTATATTTGCACTAAATCCCAGAATATAAAAAACTAACCTTAATTACCTTTATTCTCATAATACCCTTAAATCTAACAATATATCTCCATTTATATAAACCCTTAAACCACTTAAACAAATACTCAGCTCAATATAGCACCCTATCCCTATACTAACAATCCTCCTTACAAGGCTCCAAACCTTAAAATAAAACTATATAAATAAAAATATAAACAAAAAATACCTATTAATTTATTAAAGGTAAAAATAATAATATTAATAATATAAATAATAAGATTTTCAATATATTGAAAAATTAAATTATTTATGTAATTTAAAATAATTTAAATAATTTATTATATAATTATTATAGGAAAGGCTTGGAAATTTTAAAAGAATAAATTAAAGTGTAAAATTAATAACAAAATATTAAAACCTTAATACCCCCCTAGAAATTTAATTAAAAAAACCAACAAATAGTTATATTAATAAATTAATATTAATATTTTCCTAATAAAACTTAATAAATGTAATTAGTTATATTTAAATTTAATCATTAAATATATATATAAATATATTAAATTTTATAAAATTTTAAATATAGGAGGTTTTTCAGAAGAGGTTTTATACTTCCATATAGTGTTTCGCACTTTCTATCTTCTTATACCTGCATTATCTATAAACTTTTTAAAACATAAATAAACCTTTAAAAGTTATTTTCCTATATGATCAACTTAAATATAAAATCATTAATTTTTCTATAACAATAAGTTGGAATAATAAGGCCAAAATAAAATCTATTAATCTAACCTTTTTAAAATTTTAATAGGTTTTTTAATATATAAATAAGCCCTTAAAAGTTATTTTCTTATTTAATTAATTCAAGTTTTTAAATATAAAATTATTAGTTTTTTATAGAACTTTATATAATAAAATTATAATGTATGTCCTGCAGGAACTCTTGTTCAATTAGAATTCTTATTTAATTAAAATTTATATTCAATATATAAGCCTTTAAATGTTCATTTTTATTTAATTAATTTAAATTCTTAAATATAAAATTATCAATTTTTCCATAGAGTTTTGTACAATAAAAGTGTAGGGTTAGGGCATATCTTGCAAAAACTATTAGAATTCCTTAGAAATTATTTTCTTATTTGATTAATTTAAGTTCTTATTAATGAAAAAGATGTACCCAATTATAAATATTTTCTAATATTTTAAATTTTTAATATATTTTTTATTTTTTTATTAATTTATTAATTAATTTATTAATTAATTTATTAATTAATTTATTAATTATTATTAATTATTATTAATTATTATTAATTATTATTAATTATTATTAATTTTTTATCAATTTTTTATCAATTTCATATAATAATTTATTAGAAGAATTTCAGTATAATATATCGAACTTCATCCTAGGTAATAATTATTTTTTTCTTAATTTATTATGTAATAATTGCACATTCCACGTTCTAAACATTCCACCAACAATTTGCTACTTCTCTTTCTCCAGGCAGCCGCAATCTGAAAAATAATAATCTAAATCATTAATCTAATAACATAAACTGAAATTGTTATCGTCACTTTCCCAACAACTTCAATCGTAACTAAATATTGCATTACATATTATAAACTTACATACATTAATTAAAGTAATCAACTCGCCTTAACAAGATGGTTACCCTCGATCGCCAGGAGATTATCGCAACTAACAAGTCGCTCCGGTTGATCAAGAACGTATGTGTATTTCTTTAAGCCTTCCATCTCCCCCTTTCCTCTTTACTACATCAAACACAATCATGTCTGACTAGTTTCTAGGAACTTGAGCATCTTCTCGAGAAGGGAGTTTTGACGGATGATGTGTTCGACTCAATTCAAAGAGCGCTTCCTACGGAAACCTCACTCTCAGGCGCACCTACGCCAGCAGCGCGAGGTGCTTCTGTAGCTTCTCCACCCCCGGGCCCTCCCCCGCAACAAACGGCGCCTGTGAACTCGATGGCCAATTTGGCAATCAATCAGAATCCGACGCCCACTCCCGCACCTCCGGCTTACAGTTCAACCAGCCCACCTTTGCTTCCTGCGCGCGCAGGACCTCCGGCTTCACCTCCATCAAAGCCTATTATCGCTCATGCAAAAGCACTCTATAAATATCAAGCTGCCGATGACCGAGACTTGTCGTTTGAGCGCGATGATAAGATTGCCGTGTATGAGTATATGAACGACGACTGGTGGATGGGACGTAACAAGAGAACAAATGCCGAAGGTATATTCCCTAAGAACTACGTCGAGATAGACCATAGCGAGAAGGCTGGCTTCTACGCCCCACCCCAACCAGTGTACGCCACGCCTACGCCGGGTGGTAACGGATATCCCCCGCCGCCGCAAACCCAGAACCCGTATAACGCACAAGTCCCCCCTATGGCTGTAGCGCAAGGAGGTGGCAGCCCCAGCACTCCTGGAGAGCCGAGCAAGCTTGAACAGAATGGTAAGAAGTTTGGTAAGAAGCTGGGAAATGCTGCCATCTTTGGTGCTGGTGCTACACTTGGTGGTAAAATTGTGAATGGTATATTCTAAGTTGTGCGTGCCATGTTTCTTTGCTTTACAAGCTATTACCGCCGTTACCCATGAAGAAATATACCAAGATAGTCACAGCGGTCCGTGTCTAGGTTCATGGTTTGGGAATCCTATAGGGGTTTGGGTTGGTATTTTGGGGAGTTGAATAGATTTATAAATATCACGTACGTAGACGTAGGTAGGCAATTACGTATCAATGGCTTATATATATATATATATATATGTCATATGTATGCACCTGCCTAGGAGTGAGCTATCTACTTGTTTGGGTAACGTAAGATCTAGGTGGGATTATGGGTTTCCTGCGTTCCTGTGGTATTGGCTTATCGAATATCGCACACGCGGACTTTGAAGACTGCTAGAAAATCTTGGTAGGTTCGGAGAAAGGAGAAAGTAGAAGTATTAACATCCAATGAACGTTCATCTATCTCCTCAAGGCATGGCATAAACATAGTTGTAATTTCGAATCAACCATATCAAGTATATTCTTGCTCTTTTTCATTCATAATAAGTAATATATTTACACCTGCCTACGTGATAGCCCGCGGAATGACAGCTATTATATGTAAGAACAAGGTTTAGCTTATAGTTTAGCTAGTAGAGGAATCTCTCGTCTTCCCCGAATGTCAAGAAAAGAGATTCTTACAAATTCAAGAACTTTATAGATAATAAGCCCATCACTACATTAATATATATAGATTAACTTATATATGTGGCTTAATGGTGTACAACAAGGTACTTAATGGGTTATCTGTGCTTTTGCTTTGGGTCCTTTTTATTGGGTGCACATTTTTGAATTAGTACATAGGTTAGATAGGTTTCTCGGTCTAAATTCACGGGAAACTAAGGTTTACTTAATAAACTATCTGTAAAGGGTAAAAAATCACTTTCATTAATTTAGCGCATTGGGCTGGACCGCCATTATGTACTTCGAACTAATTAAAATACTGCCCTGCTAGCTCAATGGCAGAGCACTGAACTTCTATTCATAGTTATTCAGAGGCTGTGGGTTCGAGTCCCACGTAGGGCTTCGGATTCTTCGTTTGTTTTTTTTTTGTTTTTTTTTTGGTGGGAGTGGGAGGTACTCACTGGTACCTCTGCGCCCACTACCACCCCCTTCTGTAACGCCCGTAGTGCCCCCCCTTTTTTTTTACAATAACATCCTAATTATTACCATCAAAGTTATACTGTATGATGGATGTGTCTTGGCCCATTTATTCAAAGCTCAAAGCATACTATTTTTTTAATATCCCCCGTGTGTGTGCTTGCTCAGGTTTTCGTGGTATGCTATAAGAAGTCCTCTCGCCTAGTCGGAATTATGGATCTCGAGACGCAGTCCAATAGACAAGTTCGTACGCGTTGGAAGGCCTCGGACATAATGTACAGGCGTTAGAGATGGATACTAGCACATCATTCATCTTCTACTAGTCTGTAAAAAAGTCGGCACCCTTCTATATACCAGCAGGTGGTCTTTCTAGTAGTTTATGGGCGATGGTGTTTCATGGATATTTCTATAGTTGCTCGGTTTACCCGGGAGGCCATCGGCTTGAACGATATAGTTGACGAGTTCTTACTACGCAAATTTTAACCTCGACGACTTGAATTATGACACGACCGGACGGATTATCGAAGGACTAAGCTTGATTCTACCTTTTAAAGTAAGATCAATAGAAACTTCACCATACGACAGCACCCCTGACGTATCCCCGGTCGATAAGCTCCCTAAAGTTCCTCTCTAAGCACCTAAGCATGTATCTATTTAGATGCCCTCCAACCCCGAGCACTTCTACTATTCGTTCAAATTCAAACTTCTCAGATGGCCGGGAGCATTTCTCCAGGATCCTCCTTAGTATAGCAGTTCTACACCTCGGGTCCCTAGCTGCAGTATGCAAGTTCAGCGCAAGAAGTGACTGCTTCGTCATATCCACATCCGTATCTAAATTTCCATCTACACTTCCCCCCATACCTCCTGTCTCGCTTTTCAACCTTCGAATAATTTCTATATACTCATCCCTCAGCTCCTTCAATACCCATGGAGCATCCTCATACCTATTTTCCCAAGGTTCCTCGTATGTCTCCGCACCCTTTCCCCTCCAAAGTACAGGCGATGGCCGCCAGCGCCACGTAAACGTATCAAAATCCCTCACGAGCCAGGGCGGGAAGGCCTCGTTACCGCGTGATCTCGGCGCCACATGCACGCCATCCCAGCCCACGATGGCTTTTATATCGCCCTCTTTCGACACGATGATATGTCGCATACTCAGACACGGATGTGCCAATACGAAGCCCTTATTTTGCCTGTTACTTTCCTCCTTTTCTTTGCCTTTGGAAGATGCTGGCTCACTGCTACTGTTGGGTTCGCGAATAAGATGTATGAGGAGACGCAGCAGTTTATCGACGCCGGTGCTGGCTTCGGTGTCGCATGGGTACATGTCTAAGAGCATCGTGTACATCTCCCCGGCGTCTCCGAAAGGGCCTGCCGCGATGTATAAGGGCGCCCTTTCGCAATCCTCGTTATCGAGCCAACGGTTTACCATTGCTTGGATGTTAAGTTCCCTCGAGGGTCCTACGCCAATTAGCACTCCGGTGTCGTCGAATACAGGAGCTCCTCCATGTTTGAATTCGTATCTTCCTAATTGATGCATAGCTTGTGCCAGATTTTGCAGGATCTTACTTCTCCTTGCCCTGATCTCCTTTTCACCAATCTCCTCATCTATACCAAACCAAACCTGATCTAACGTCAGACCGGCGACATATTCCATGATTAGATAAGGTACGTGAAGCTCATTATAAGGAGAGGAGTCGGCATCGATTATTGCAGGGACTGGTACGTGAGTCTCCGTGCGTAGCATATAGAGTACTAGAGCCTCGGCACGGAGGGCTTCAGCGCATAGTTCATCCCATATATCTGGTGTGCCGTTGATGGGAATCTTGATTGCCCACTTAGCAGCCTTACGATCCTGGGGATCGAAGAACTCAATTGAGTAGAAGATATGTGCCGAGCCAAAGAACGGCCCGTCGACCTGAGGTAGGTCTGGTGGAGGTGAACCGTTGGTTGATGTAAGCCTGTGACGAGCCTCCATGATATTCAACGCGAATGAGGCGATGACAGTCGTGTCGATATGGGAGAGTATACCAGCGTAGTCATTGTATTTCCGGTGGCTCCTCTTCTTCCGCTCTATAGCAGTATTTTGGCTGATATCCACCGGCGCGGCGTCAACGAGTGCGTCTCTAAGCGAGCGCGTTTCTATCCTTTCATTTCTGTTTGATTTCCGGTGGCCTGGCTTGGTTTCCCGTACTGCCGGTCCCATCGACTTAGCTAGGCTTATCCACCTTCTATTATTGTCTAACCCGCCTACGTAGTCAACGTGTGACTGACTTTCGCCAATTTTAAAGGATAGTCCGAGGATAAAACCTAGGTTCACGTATTTTCCTCGGGCTAGTCGATCCAATTCCTCTTGACGCTCGGAGCGAGTGCGTTCTATAAAACGTTGCCCTAAGGAATCCGACATCTCTTCTGGAAAAAGGCTTGTAGAAAAGAAAATCCTCACCGAAGAAAAAAAAAAAAGGGGGGGGGGGGGGGGGAAAAGGCAGAAAAAGGTAAGAAAGCGTACCGGATGATACAATGCTATTCAATAGCATTGTGAGCAGCAGCTGGGCATAAAGGCTTGCCGAGCTAAGGAAACCAACAAAGACTCGCTTCGCAGTAACGTGGGTGGCGTTGATTGCCATATCCGGAGCCCGTGAATACCAGTGTTTTAGCATCGTATTCTCAACGAGTTACTATTCTATAAGTCCCCCTGTAAAGGTTTAAAATGGATTTAATTCCCAGGGTTTCTACAGCGTAGATGTATAAATGCCTCTAGTCTTTGGTATAAGGGTATAACTGGCGTAATCCGATTTTACTCAAGCCGTCCGTCCCTCCCCATCTAAAAATACTAACTCCTAAACTCCCCGTAGCCTATCGCTAGATATCGCGTATAAGAGGGAAAGTAGCCCTCGGAAGATGATCCTAGCACTTTGGCACTACTCGTGGATCCGTCGTAAGAGGATCAAGACGTGCTTAACCGCGCCTACTAACGCGGGGCCATGTTAATTCTTTCCAAATAGTCACGAATTTATTTCGATCAGCTCACTCGTCACCGCCCCTCAAATCCAGCTGTCCATTTCGCGATGCATAGCAAGGTTGAGAACTATCGAGACCTAAACCACCATGTGCCAAGACTGACGAGGAATATAGTAACAAGTATTACGAGGCTCTCCTTTGACTGAGAAATCAACATTGACCAACCGATAGTCGACTCCCACTTTCGGATTTGAGCTCGGCGTTCCCAAGACTGTAAATCAATCGGGAACGGGAGCTTGATACGAGGGTCTATATGTACGTCGTCTCTCGGCTCCTTATCTAGAGCATTCTCGGGTGGTATTAGATATTGTTTGTCAAGCATCGGGACCTCGACGCGCAAGAATACTGCTCTATGGTCGCTCGATCTGACGGCGGGGAGCGAATTGTAAGCTAAGATGTTCATACGCTTAACGCCGGTGATTTCCTTTGCCCACCAGGGTATCTCCTGATAGAGGATACGATCGCACCAACTGGGCCATCGATGGAGGGCCCACGACCACTCGATTTCATCCGTGTAGTCTTCCTCACCCCCCTCGCTTTGATCAAGCCCAGCGTGCGAGATTGATTTTGGCGACAGCACCAATTTATATGTCGGTAGAAAATTGATTTTCGCCTCGCGCAATCCATGTAGCGTGCGACCAGAGCTCTTCTCCACGGTAAGCTGGTCGCGAGTTAAGAACGTGGAGAGATCAATATCGGGATTGGTATCGGGAAATATTGAGCCCGGAGTTGGTGCGGTCTTGGATATGCGATAGTTTAGGTCGCCAGCGACAAAGAGGTGTGCACTAGGCTTGTATATCGAAATATCTTGCAGAGACTTCTCGGTATCCTGTCGAAGTAGAGCTTGATGGGCATCGGGATCGCTATTAGCCGGACGCGTGAATTGTGTTGTTTGACCTGCTACTTTCTTGGGATCCTCAAACAGGAGACCTGAAGCGATGGTTTCCCAATTCTTGTTTCTCTTTTCGAGATTCCATTCCATAGCAGCTAGATGAGCACTGACAAAAGTGAGTTCAGTTGATGCCAATAAAAATCCATCCGCATTTGTTTTGTTATAGTGTATTCGAAGTCCTACTGCTCCTTTATTGGCCATGTCACCGGCACCAAAGGCAACTTCGGTAGCTCGTATATGCTTCACGGCATCTGGGTCGCGGGCAAATAGCAAAATGCCCGTCATACCAACACTACGCGTAGTCACCAACGTGTACGGACAATCTTTGGAAGAATACTGGCGCTCTACTTCAGTAACGAATTTGGTAGCAGCAATATTTACAGCCTTTTCGTAGCGTTGGAAGTAGGCGTTTAGCATATAAGAGCCAATAAACGCCTGAGCAACTGGTGATATTTCCTGGAGGGAGCTAGATAGACAATTAACAACGATTATTTTAATGAGTGTGTCGTTCAAAGCGTCCTTACATGACAACTAATTCCGGAAGGTTTGAAGCGTTTTGACCGAAGGCATCATATATGTGTCTAGCAAATACCGAGCTGTCGATCTGACGCTTCGCAGCATTGAAAGTGAGTATGAAAATGTCCAACGTTGGGACTGGATTGGTCTCTGCGGACATCTTCGCAGATGAACCGGGAGCGGAAGAAAAGGAATAAATTGGGTCGAATAATTCAATGTAGTATTTCCCTTCCTGCACTATTGTCGAGAGGTATTGTATTACTCGGTCAGAGTTGTAGTATTTATTTTATTTTTTGGGCTCAATTTGGATAGAGATCTCAGTAGCTCTGATCTCTGATCTGTGATCTTCGATCTCTAGTCTTTTTAGCTTGATCTTATAAAAATGCGGGTTCAGACTTATATACAATAATATTGTATACGTTGTGTCATATCTCGTGTCTTTCTTTCCCAAAATGTCGGGTCTCCGATGGTATGCGATTGTAAATTTAATATGTAG